CTGATCAATATCAACATCACAGAATACCAATTGAATCATCAGCGTAAAGTAAATGGGTGATCTCTATCCCACTACTCTCCCTAGTCTGTAACTTTGAAACCCTTCAGGGCTCCAAAGTCTTGTAATTTTAAACATCTGCTTCAGTCCTTCCATAGCTATAAGAAAGAGGAAAGGAGTGAGAGGATCACCTTGTCTCAATCCTCTCTTGGAAGAGAAGAACCCTTCAGGAGATCCATTTACCAGAATAGAAAATTTGACAGTCTAAATACAAAAGGCAATCCATCTAATCCACTTTATACCAAAACCCATGTCTTTTAGAACTTTTAGGAGGAAATTCCAATTAACATGATCATAAGCTTTCTCAATGTCAAGTTTGCAAGGAATACCAGGAGTCTGGTATTTGATTCTAGAATCCACACACTCATTGGCTATCAATGCTGCATCCGTGATCAGTCTACCTTTAATAAAAGCCATTTGATGTCTATCCACCAGGTTATCAATCACTCTCTTGAGCCTTTCAGTGAGGAGCTTAGAGATAATTTTATACACACTCCCGATCAGGCCTATAGGTCTGAAATCTCTTAAGACTTTTGGCACCAATTTTCTTGGGAACCAAGGCAACATAAGTTGCATTGAAACTCTTTTCAAAATAGTCACTCCTATGAAAGTTTCTGATAGTGTCCATCACATCCTTTTTCACAATTTCCTAGCAGCATTGGAAAAATCTCATAGAGTATCCATCTGGGCCTGGAGCTTTGTCAGCAGCACATAACTTCAAGCATTTCAACACCTCTTGTTCTTCAAATTCTCTCTGCAACCAATCATTATCATCTCCACTGATTATTGAGCCTTCTTGAAAGTTGAATAAAGGTCTCCGGTGTTCTGTCTCAGAGTACAAATTCTTATAGAAATCCACAATCTCTTCCTTGATTCTTTCTGGATCAGTGATGGTCTCTCCATGAGCTTCTATGGTGTCAATGTGATTAAATCTTTTATGACAGTTGGCCATCCTTTGAATGAATTTGGTATTCTTGTCTCCTTGTTTCAACCATAAGATTCTAGATTTCTGCCTCCAAGAAATTTCCTCATTTTTTGCCACCTCTTCATACTCCATTTTCAAGCTTGCTTTCAATAGTAATTCATCCTCGGATAGCATTCTTTGCTCTTGTATGGTATCCAGGGAGCTAATCTGGTAGAGAATATTAACTTTCTTAGCCTTTAGATTCCTCCCATTAGCTGTATTCCGTTCCTTCAATTAATGTTTCAGGAATCTTAGTTTACAAGAAAAAATATAATCAGGTCTTCCTTGTGCTTCACACGAATTCCACCATTCCTCCACCCTCTCCTTAAATCCAGAAACCTCCATCCACCAGTTTTAGAATTTAAAGTAAGACTTTGAAAAGCCCCACTCCCCACATTTCAAAGAAATAGGACAATGATCAGAGATGATCCTTGGAAGCACTGATTGTTTGATCTTATTGAATTTTTCATCCCATTCCGCGGAGTACAAGAATCTATCAATCCGAGAGTAACCTTCATGACTGCCTCCTCTGAACTAAGTGTATTTCCCCCCCAAAAGTGGAGGGTCAATAAGTTCCAGCCCCTCGATGGTATCTGAGAATTCTTTCATGGCTCTCGAGATGTTTATACAGTTCTTTCTTTTTGAGGAAAATCTGGTAGTATTAAAATCCCCACACACTACCCAGGGTTCTTCACATACCCCTTTCATACCCCCCAATTCCATTCATAAGTGCTCCCTTTCCCTCAGACAATTTGGGGCATAAACCCCAGTCAACAGCCAACTGTAATTTTAATTTGTAAAGCTTAATTTACAAGAAACAGAATGTACACCGTACTGTATTAATTCCCATGTCCAGCACTTTTTATCCCACATGATAAAGAATCCCTCCACTTCTTCCATTGGCCTCCAATCCCACATAATCAGCCCACCTGTTGCTAAATAGATGTTTCACAACTTCCCCTTATTCGCCTTCCATTGTTGTTTCTTGAACACAGTAAAAATCAGCCCTCCAATCTTGAATTAGAGATTTGATCACCCTCCACTTGTTGATGTCATTCAATCCCCTCGCATTCCACGAGATGATATGGGCTTTCATTGAGACCCACTGCATATTCCCTTTCCCCTAATTCTTGGTTTTCCATCCTTAAATTTTACCCCAAATTGAAGAAGATTCTTCATTTCATTCTGGCCTTTTGATTTAGGAGAAGAGATTTCAGTATTGTTTAGTCTCTCCTGTCTTCTTTTATCTAGCTTCATAGAAGAGACCATACTTCCCATTCGTACCCCTGAATATCCACCCCAAATTGTTTACTGAGCCTCATAACATTACGTCGCACCCATATTGATGCATCCACCTCCGCTATCTGCATTTGAGTATCCAGTGGTTGCACATCTTCGACTGGCCAGTGCTCAATTTCGACCAATTGAGTGCTATTATTCCCAATTATTTCTGAATCCATATCTGTTGTCCCTTGTTCTGTCTTGCTGATATCGCCCTCTCTTATAGATTGGATTAGATGTGAAAAACTTGTATGATTCTCTATATTATCCTTCGATCTCTCCTCTGCATGTAGGACTGGACTTTGGTTTGTGGTATAGTGTTTGTTGGCATCTATTTCAGCAGTAATAGTGTCGTGGGAAGATACATATCTAGGCTCCATCAAACGTGAGGAAATAAAACATTTGGGCCCAAAATCTTTATCACTCCCAATGGGCTTCTGGTCAGAGCCCATCTCTGCAGAAAAAACCCTATCACCCGACATGAAATTTTGTTCCTCCATGAGACTAAAATGGGCCACCTCACTAATTGATGGCCCACTTTCCTTTCTATTTAGTAAAATCAAGGACCAAACCCTCCTCACGTGTCTGTGAACCATTACCCAAGACAGATTTGAATTGATTCTTTTCAGGGATCACATGGCTAGTCTTTTTTATACACAAGCTGTCAAGCCTATCATGCAAATAGGTACCCTCTTTTATCCAGCAGTCTCCCGAATATTTCTCAGATCTCTGCAAATTCTTCCACTCTTCTCCAGCGACCACCCTCGTCGGAATTTCACTCCAAATGGGTATTATGTATATCACTCCCTTGTCTTCTGTGATCACTTCTGATGGCGCCCTCCGCCCTCCTCCTTTAATCTTTAGTCTTGCCCATTTGAGATGACTCTTCAAAGAGGTTTCTTCTTCAGTTTCTAAGACCATCTCCAACCCACCTCTCTCTATATTTGGAGAGTAAAATAGAGAATGGGCTCTCCAACCATTTTCTACATGACTTTCTATTCTCCATTTATAGAGTGGTGAATAGTAGTTTTCCAAATATAGAGAACTACTATTCACCTCCCTATTTCACTTTTTATTATTTTATTATTATTTTGTGATTAACATATTATTTTTCATATAAGACCATTAATTATATCTCTAATATTAGTAATTCATATTAAATGTAATATGACATTTTAAAAAATATATCATTTTAGATATACTACTTCCATCCCAAATTAATAATGTTTCAATTTTTAAAATTTTTGTCACTTTAATATAGTTTGATATCATTATTAATTCACTATGAAGAATGCAAAAAATTAAAATGATAAGATGAAAAATTTAGTTTAAAAATATAATACATAACACAATAATTTAAATACAAGATAACAATACATAACATAATAATTTTATTACAACAATAATTTAGTAATCCGGTAGGCCCTTTTCAAATTTAACAATATTTGAAAAAAATTAATGTATGATCCTCATAATTAGTGTAGTTGTGATTGCGGTTGTGCTTGTTGATTTCTTTTTTAATTATTTGTAGTTGTTGCATGAAAATCTCCGATTTGAACAATCTTTAGCTAGACATAAAATAATTAAGGATAAAAATTCTTATTTTGAACTCCGTAATGCATTAATGAGCATTTATGAAAGTAATGCAATAATCTTGAAAGTATTTCATTAATATTTTCACTTTTATTTGAATTGTTCATTAATTCGTATATTATATAATATTTGCTTGCAATTTATGTTATTTAGAAATTTAGGAAAAAAATATAATTTTATATTAAGTAAAGAATTTGAAAAATAAAATTTTATATTACATGAAAATTATATAAAGTGATTATTATGAAATAAGAAAATAAGAATGAAATAGAAATAATAATATAATATTGAGGAGAGAGAAAAAGATTCTTTTTTAGAGAGTAAAATAGAGAATTGGGTTGGAGTTGGTTGTCTGAGAAAATAGAGAACTCTATATTTGGAGAGTAAAATAGAGATTAGGGTTGGAGATGCCCTAACCAACCACCACAGTGGTCACCAATAGCCTTGAAGGTTTTCTCAGACCATAGATGTAAAGGCAGCCCCATAGCTCTTATCCATGTCCACTCCGTCTCTTGAATATCAGTGCAACAACCAGCGACTGGTGACCACCATTCAAGTTGGGTTTTATCCTTCTTCCATGTCGATTCCCCTTGTAAAACCTGTTCAGCCATGTATTTAGTTGGAACCTCAAAGGATATAATAGAAAGTATTTTTGGCTAATTATTTTTGGTAATCATGACAAGTAAAATGGACAGGGGAAGTAAAATGTTAAAAGGTTATTCAGGTTTATAAAACTTCTAATTTTAGAATCTTCAATTTACTATTTACACCATTAAATATACCATCAATCCATCATGTATTTTCATTATGAAACTTGATTACTCTTTTTTGTTTTAAATATTTAAACCTCATTATTTCGTTGGCGGAAATTAGTTGGTTAATCTTTTGACAACTATTCCGAAGAGTTAGGTTTAAACTATTTGTAGGGTTTTTTTTTTTTAAAATAAAAAAATTTAGGTAAATAGTAACAACGATATGTAGTAATTTAACTTTTTATGTTTAGGAGTTCTTGCTTTTATATATATATATATATATATATATTGGTGCAACAATGATGTTATTCCCATTGGAGTGAAATAAGACTAATTTTATTGGTATTTTGCAGATAACACTTTCATTCCAAAAGCATATGCATTTGAACTTGGTGTTCTACTTCTTGAGTTGATAACTAAAAAGGAGCGTGCGTGGAAGAGTGAGCGTCATGCAGGTTATTATATTTCAAAAATGAATCAAAGCTCCATTGTTGCTGAAAGCTTTGAGATAGATGCTGACACTGGCACTACAATTACACAACTTATACAATCATGTGTGAATCATGTGGATGAGCGTCCAGACATTGACACAGTGTTTGATAAATTGGTAAGCATAACTGGGTATCGTCCAGCTGTATCAGATTCATATCCCTGGATTGATTCCCTCTAGGTGACTAATGTAAAACTTCTGAACGACTACTCTTAGCTCGCATATGTCACTTGATGGCTGTGATGCATATATTGTAACTGCATTTTGATGTGTGTTGGAACAGAAACCCTCTCCGGGCTGTAGCCAATATCACGTGTTTTCATTATGAACTCTTATGTTAATTAGTTGTGTCTTTAGCAGCACTTGCTGTGAGGTTTGAGGTGTGGAAGAGATTATTAGTGGGTTTAATTATGTTGGATTTCAAAATTATATGCATAAGTTTCGGGTGCACTGGTGCTGGTTGTGTCGTTTTTGGTTAGCCCAAATTAGATTAGGAGTATGCTTTGGTTGTACCATCTGCCATTTTTACCCTCGACCTTTTCAGATTCACTTCTCGTTTTAGGGCCTTTTGCATATCTATCTATATCTATTCTATCTTAAAAGCATGAACTTTCTAACTTAAATGTTAAATTGCTATAATGCTCTCAACTTAAAACACCCAATTTAATGTCTTCTATATATTGCATTATATTTACTTACTAATTTATTTGTGCTATATTATATTAAAAGTTAGACACTTTTTTATATTGGCGATTGTGACTTCTCCGAAGAGTATGAATGGTAGTGATTTTCTGAAGGGTTGTGACTTATCAGATAAGACACAATAAATACCTTCTCATAATATCCTTTGTTGGCTATATGTCACGACTCAGGGGTACCCCCTAGACATAACACGGCGTACTCGACCCCGAAGGGAGCTAATACAAGCCCTTTGCATCATAACATAGGTATTAGAATTGAAAATACGGAACAATTTAAAACTTTTACAATGAAAGTCATATTTCATAAAAGCAACAAGTGGAAGTCTTTCTATTACTATGTCTCAAACCATCTATTAAAACTCTTGAATAAAGTCATTGGGACACAACCCATACAAAGTCTGAAACATAAGAAAAGACATAAAAGGAACATAGGGGCTTGTCCTCGAAGCTATGAGGACTCACCAAATCTTCAAGTCTTCAAACGCCTTAGGAACCTAGCTTCCAAAGCACTCAATTTCCAATACCCAATATGCGTTAGTACAAAATGTACCAAGTATGAAAGCTAACATACCAACATAAAACATCTCAAAATGGTTAGTCAACATAAGACATAATCATAAGAGACATTAACATAATCATAAGATAATCCCAACATAAGTATCATATCATAACAAGTCAACATAAGGCATACATAAGTTCATACTTCAACCATTAGTCTTTCATACTCAAGTGAACTACTTCACAAGCCACATCCAAGTATACTTGTGCAAGGCCAAGATAGCATCCCATAATACTACCTAAGCTAAGTACCTCTCTTTGGTCATTCTTGGTCATAGTCTACCTTCATACTTAAGACCTAGGTTTTCATGACATAAGAGCACTAAACCCCTAAGTAACCTCAAGGCACACTTGTGCAATGCATGTGGGGATCCCATAATACCACACACACTAAGCATATCTTGAAGTCACCCTATTCATCTTCATCAATTCTAGGTATCACTATGGACCGACTTCATATGTCAAGGAACTATCAACTTAAGTCATTCATATCATGGAAGGCAACTATAACAACACTCCAAGCTAAGCATACTTCACATAAGAGGACACTTCATAAGTAGCTTCAAGTAATACTTGTGCAATGTATGAGTAGCATCCCATACTACCACTCACACTAAGTATTCCTTTAGGCTAGCTTACTCAATGCCAATTCTATTTCATTCTAGTCTACCAAAGAGTAGCATACTACCATGCTAGACCTACTACCTTGGAAAAATATACTATCATACAATCCAAGCTATCAAAGGAAGGATACAAGTATCAACCTAGCCACCATGCAACCATTCAATGAGATGCAAGCTATCCTTAAGGGAGTATGAATCCTCAACCCTAAGCTATTCTTAGGAGAGTATGGTATCTCAATCCTAAGCTACCATGAAATGGTCTTGGCCTAACCAAGTCAAGCTACCATGAAGAGCATTCTAACCATGCTAGTTCAAGATACCATAGGAGAGCATAAATCCTCAATCCTAGGCTACCATGCCTAAGCTAATGCAAGCTACCATGAAAAGCACCCTATCAATGCTAATTCAAGCTAACCTTAGGAGAGTTTAATTCCTCAATCCCAAGCTACCATGAGATCTATCATCCCAAGCTACCGTGAGATCTACCATCCCAAGCTACATAATTCATCTATCCATGAAGGAGTCATGAGACTCAACCTCAAGCTATTCTACTTTAACAAGCAGGTGATTAACCTTTCACATCCTACATATATCATCATTTTTGACTTACTCTTTAAGCCCTAGTGATCAACATTATGACTTCAAGCCCTACATTCAAACTTTACTCCACAATCATTACTCTAGTCTAGATCACAATGCATAGTAGTCACATGCCTTAGCCATAGCCAATTCTAAGCATAATTCATCAAAGTCCCAATTCTAGCCATTTCGATTCATGTTCTATCATACATACCTAAGTCTAGTTCGATTCATGATTTCATATTCCTATTCTTGAATAAGTCCCATTCATGACAACAATCCAAGAGAATCTAGCAAGAATCATCAATTCCTCATCAAAAGACACAAACCCACATACTTTGAAAATTAGGACAAATCAAGGAATTCACATAAATTCTTCATAATAACATGAATCAACACTAAAATCATCATATAAAAGTATTACCCAACCGTTTGGGATCATACTCATCTAAAACCCATGTTTTGGAAGTAACCCTAGCTTGTTTGGGGTTCTTCTTCACAAATCTTGGGGATTTCTATATGACTCTATGGGTGGAAGAACCCATAGATGAAAAGCTTAACATACCTTCCATCACAGACTTAAACTAAGCTTGAATCCATGGATAAAATCTCCCTAAGCCACTGCCCTCTTCTCTTCTCTTCTTCATCTTCTTCTTCAATTCTAGGGAGATGATTTTTGGAGAGGATTTTAGGGGTCTTTAGATGTAAGGGTAAAAGTGCTTAGTTTAGGGCCTATTAACTATTTATAGGAGGTAAATTAACTAATTAATCGTCCCTCCTAACGCCTCAACTAATTACTAAACTAACCCCTAAACACCAACTTAAAAACTAAAGCTCCAAAACTGGCAGCACTTACGCCCCTCCACCTACGGACCGTAGGAGGAGTTACTGGCCGTAAGTGGCCTCCGTTGTTTGCAACTGGGGCTCATATTTTGCAGGGAGTTGCAGGCCTGACCTACGCCCATGACCTACGGGGAGTAGGTTGACCTATTGAGCGTAAGTGGCCTCCGTAGGTCACCAAAATTGACAGTTTTGGTGACTGTTTTTGGGGTCCTCCTCAAAGACCCCTTGGGTGGTCGTATCCGGACGTTTTAACCCCTAAATATGTCCATCTAAGTATAGGAACCATTTACCTTGACTTTAACCCCATACAACACTCCAAAAGTCCCCTACGAGACCCTACAACACACTAGTTCATCTCACTAGTTCGACTTACTAGTTTTCGGGCGTTATGATCGTTTCTTGACATTTGACCTCTAAAATCACCATACTAACTTAAATAGCCATTTTCATCATTTAAACAAGTTCTCAACTATAAACTAACATGTGAGGCTCTAGTTCACCCTACTAGATTCCATCAAACAATAGCTAGGTCTAACTAGGTTCTATGGGGTGTTACACTATAAATAGAGGGGTTTCTTCATATTTTTAAACAGTTAATTTTCTAAGTTTTCTATTATTCTTCTGAAAACAAGGAAGATTGTGACAATTGTTCAATTACGCAGTAACAATATTTTTTTGGGTAATTAGATAGATCTATAAAAATGATGCAACAAGGAGAACAGAATGACATAACTGCACACAAGAAGACTATCTAGATAATTCATATGTACTCATTTTCATTGCCTTAAACAAACATTTGCAACAACTTCTACCTGAAGAGATGTTCAATGATTTTCTGTTGCACAAATTACAAATTGGCGTTCAAGCTGTGAAAAGTCTTAAAATGTTGGAGAAGAATGCTTTGATAAAAAACTTGTTTGAATATTTCGAATTAGATTTAACAAGTACGCCTCCATTTCCAAATAGAATTTTATTTTACGGATGGGTGTGGGGGCTATTCTTTTATTCTAATTTTTCATATGACATGTTTAAGACTACATTATATATATCCTTAGTTAATACCAGAAAATTAAACGTCCTCTTTATTTAAAAAAAAAATTCCTATTAAATAAAAATTAGATTATCTAAATTGATTCGTTTCTGTTGATAAGCATCAATACAAAAGATTCATATGAGAAAACATAAGTAAATGGGCTTCTACTTGAGCCTCCAAGGATAAACTACATGAACAATCATTTGATCTCCATAAAAAATGGCATTAAATCCCTAGCAAACTAATTTAAACTATTTCTCTTTCGAAATTTCGAATAAATTTCGAAACAGGTATGAAAAGTTTGTAATGTTAATTGAGTACCAGTTCTCCAATTGATTGACCTGCAATAACATCTACAGCTTCCCCCAATTCAATTAGATGGCCATGAGTAGGACTACGGCCATAACATAATCGACAAATCCAAGATGTACTCCTGCAAGTAAAGGGAGTTTGAATAGAGATTGGTTGTGTCAGCCGAGCTATAAGAAAAATTCTCGCCACTATCATAGTAGCAACATGTATAAGAGCCGAATGAACTCTGTAGACCATTCTCATGGGGTGGTGAGGGAGGCCTCCAATTGGTAGAAAAAACTCACAACCCCTTGGGGTTATCGTGCACTTCGAAGAAGAAGTAGAAAAAGGAATAAATATTATCTATATTTATCTATACTACCTTAAAAAACATGAATACCGTAGTTTAAATGTTAAATTATTCTAATACCCCGACTTAAAATTTTATTTTTGTTCAGTTTAAAACAATTTTTTTGCGGGTGGGTGGGGTGGGGGACTATTCTTTTATTCTAATTTTTCATGTGACATGTTTAAGACCACAAAATTAAAGGAAATTTTTTGTACATTTTACATATTCTTAGTTTAATCCAAGAAAATTAAAAGTCTTCTTTATTTTGAAAAAATTCATATCAAATTAAAATTAGACATATCTATATTTATCTATACTACCTTAAAAACATGAATATCGTAGCTTAAATGTTAAATTATTCTAATATCCCAACTTAAAACACAAATTTAGTATATCATCTCTATTTTATTTTATTTATTTAATTATATAAAAAGTAGACACCTTTTCACATTGAAGGACTGTGACTTTCTGAA